ACACACACACACACACACACGACTTTCCACGCACAGACAACAGCGGATGGACCTTCCACGCTGGCCGGTGGACCAACTTCCCGGCCTTTGCGCCCGGCGACCGGGTGGGCGTGCGTCTGTTCCTCAAGAGCGAGAGCGAGAGCGAAATGGCGTGCTACAAGAACGGCCAGTTCCTCGGGGTGGCCTTCAACGGCTCGCGCACGCCCTTCAGCTTCCCGCTCGTCCCCGCCATGTGCCTGTGGAAGCAGGGCGACCGCGTCCGCCTCTTCCCCGACTCCTTCGTCGCCGAGCGCATTGCCTGAGCCTCGTGAGGTGCCGCTGAAACTTTCATCATCACCATCATCACCACCATTAGCGATCACACCACCGTTCGCGCAGGAAGACCTAGTGCCTCCAGTGTGATACATCGCTACCTTATGTGCAGTACGAAACCATCACGTAAAACAATGATACCTTTTACTTGTTTTTTGCAACCACTGCTCCGAATAACAAATAAGTAATAATCAAAACAAAGAAAAGACGAAGAGAAATAATTATTAATTTCAAATTGCTTGCGCCACAGTTCGGTGGCCCACAGAGATGAGTGCAGGGTTCTGGCGTGCGGCGGTGGTGGTCGGAGTGGCACTTGCCCTGTGGGCGGCGTTCGAGTGGGGCGTGCCGCGACAGGGCTCGCTCGTGGAGCTGCCGCCCCTGCCCGCCCTCCGCCCGAACCAACGCCTCGCCCAGGCCCAGCACCTCTTCCCCAACGACTGGATCGGTATAGCCCCCCTCCCCCCTTTGCTGTCTTGTGCCCTACTTACCACCCGTGGCGCAGGGCCGGAGTCGTTTGCATTCGACGAGCAAGACCGCATGTACGCTGGTACGTACTTCGCGAGTGAACGGCCGTGGCCGGTGGTGGTGGTCTCTCACCACCCAGCCACCACATGGACAGGGCTTGCCGATGGACGAATCGTGCGGTGGGATGGGGCGTCCGAGCGCTATGAGCTGTTCGCCCGCACGGGGGAGGACCTGCCCGAGTGCGGCACCTACGAGGCACGACGCGCCACACCCACCCACCAATACACACTCGAGGGGCGAAGTGCGGCTGACACTCGGTGGTGTGTGCGTGTGCGTGTGCGTGTGCGTGTGCGTGTGGACCACCACACAGGCGGAGCCCCGGTGCGGCAGGCCGTTGGGCATGAAGTTCGACGCCCACAAGAGGCTCATCGTCGCCGACGCCTACCAAGGTGGGCACCTGCTACTACTTTGCCTTCTCGCCCGTGGGTGTTGTGCCGTGTTGCGCGGTGCTGACCTGGGTGCTGCGGCCCAGGGCTGCTCTCGTTCTCCCCGGCGGGCGACGAGCGTCGAGTGCTGGTCGCCGGCAGCGAGCTGACCTTCCCGAACGACATGGCCGTTCTGCCGGGCGAGGAGGGCACCCTGCTGTTCACGGACTCGACGCACAAGCACCGGCGCCGCGACGTCATGTTGGAGGTGCTGGACATGGGCGGCAACGGCCGCCTGCTGGCGTACCACCCGGCCAACGGCTCTCTCGAGGTGGTGCTGGCCGACCTCCACTTCCCCAACGGGGTGTGCCTGCACGCCGACGGCGACAGCCTCCTCATCAACGAGCTCACCCTCTTCAGGGTCATCCGGTGTGTGTGTGTGTGTGTGTGTGTGTGTGTGTGTTATTCTTCTTGAGCTGATGTTGGTTCTGCGCGCAGATACTACTTCCGAGGCTCCAAGCGAGGGCAGGTGGAGGTGTTTGCAGACAACCTGCCCGGCACGCCCGACAACATCCGCCGCATGCACAGCACAGGCCACTACCTGATCGGCGTGGGCGCCAAGCGGACGCAGCCCTTCGCGCTGCTGAACTCCCTCTCCCCGTACCCACGCTTGCGCGACCTCGTCGCCTTCCTTCTGCCGCGCCGCTGGGCCTCCTGGGTACCACCACCGACGCCCACCATCCCATCCCACCCACCGTTGACTGCGTCGTCTCTAGCATCCACCCCTCACCCCTCTTCTGTCTTCGGCGACGCGGCAGGCCCTGCTCCGCTTCACGCCCAGGTACGGGATGGTGATCGAGCTGGACGAGAACGGCAAGGTGCTCGAGGGCTACCACGACCCGGCGGGGAGGACGGCGTGGATCAGCGAGGCCGAGGAGTGGAAGGGCCACCTCTACATGGGCTCCTTCACCAACCCGTTCCTCGCACGCATCAAGATCGACGACGAGCAGCACTGAATCACCCAGAACTGAACAACGAAGGAAAGAGAAAGAGAAAGAGTACCAACATCTTTATTTACACTTGCTCCGCGGCAAGCAGCGCCTCTGCCCGGCCTGGGCGTGGGTGTTACAGTGACGGCCGGGCGAGGGAACTTACAGGGCCGAGCCCGGTCCATAAAAAGCGCCGGCGGGCTGCGCAAAAGTTGCCACGCGCCTCTCTCTCTGGTGTGCTGTCCAACAACACGGGCGGTGGCGGTGGTGTCTCTCCTTCCTCAGAGGTCTTTCGATTTCTGTTTTTCTCCTTTGTTGTGTTTCTCCTGCTGGCACCCAATCCACATATTCGCATCAGCACTCAGACGCGATGGCGGAGCCGAACGAAATAGCGAAGAGCGACAGAGAGTTGATGGGGTGGGGGGTGGGTTATGTTGTACATGACTCCGGCGGAGGTTGGTGAGAGACCAGCGCTTGCCGCCCTCTTTGATCTTGTACTTGTCCCGGGGATCGACGCCGCTGGCCCTGTCCTGTTCTCGCAGTCGTTCCCGGAGCGCCTCGGCCTCGCGCTCCATGCTGCGATGCAGCGCGGCGGTGGGCCTGAGGTCCTGCTCGCGCGAGCTCTCCCTCTCCGCCGGGTCGATCTCGCGCTCCTTGCCCTTGTCCAGGGCCAGGGCCCGGGTCTCCTCGACGGGCACGAGCTGCAGCTGGTGCTCCTGCTCCCGCTCCTGGTCCCTGAGGAGCTGCTTCTCCCGCTTCCGCTCCTCCTTCTCCCGCGCCTTCTCCTTGACCTTCTCCTTGTCCTTCTCCTTCTCCCTGGTGGACTTGACCAGCGGCGTGCCCATGACGCTGATCCCGTCGGGGGAGATATCGATGAACGAGAACGCCTTGAGAAGGCTCTTGCGCTTCTTCAGCTCCGGCTGGTCCGCCTTCTCGGGCCTCTGATAGATCAGGTGCGGCCGGCCATCTTGCCCCTCTGCACACAAGTGTAGACACGGTGGCGGACCCAGTGAGTGAAGGGGTAGCAAAAAAAGTTGGGTATCTTCTCGATTTTGCGTGTCATCCTTGCGCAGGGGCCATGCTAATCTTCTCTGTATCGTTCCAATTTTAACAGATGGAGCCTCCCTTTCGGGAGGTCCGACCACCAGAGGGCACTCTCGCCCTCTTTGTGGGGCGCCTCCCCGCACCGCTCCACAAATTGTGGGAACGAAAAGCGACCATGTCGACATTAAAAAGGGAGAGAAGGCGTACCGGCGGGGTCATAGCTTTCGGGCCAGTAGGGCATGGGCCACTCGTCCATGTTGGGCAGGACCATGGTCTCGTTGATGATGTGCGCTTGCAGCTTGTTCACGATCAGGTTGGTAACGTCCATTTTCTGCCGACACACCACACACTCGAGTCAGTGGTGTCCGCGGCCGCGGTGGACTGAGTCGCAAAGAGGGGGGAAAGGTGCCTTCATGATACTGTTGGCCATCTGCACCATGTTGGGCAGGATCGAGTCGGAGGCGATCGACGTTTCTATCAAAGGGAAGATGGGTGCGATGAGCATTCTTATAGACTCGATGAGTATTGCGTGCACTGGGGGAGGGGACTGCGTACCAGCGTGGATGTCGAAGGTGGGGTTCTCGTGGAAGCCGATCCAGAACCTGTCGCACGGAGGCGGATTGATTTGCATGCGCATCTGAGAGTGACGCCCCCGGTTAGGATCACATCCGGCTCGTCGACGAAACGTTCAAGTTGTGTGCAGTGTGCCAGCCACTCTGAGTATAGAGAAATAACGTACCCGGCCCGAGAGACGCTTGATTTGCATGTAGGCCGAGGCCGGAACCTTGACCGAGGCACCGGGCAGCTGGATGGAGGTCATGATGTTGATGGTCATCTCGAAGCCCGTGTGATACACGACGTCCATGTCCACAATCTGGAGGGCGCGGAAACCACAGCACAGACAATCACGCAAGTCTTGTGAGGCCAAGTGACAAGCGTGGATCTTTGGACTCACCACCAAAGCACGTACCACGCCGCCTTGCTCGGTGATGGAGTAGAGGGTGGCGTTGGACACCATGGGCAAGCTGGTACCGAGCGACATGTTCTCCAAGACCATGCTCTCCTGCAAAGAAGACGAACGTTCGGTGAACCCGCGGCCATGCCAAGGCGATGATGAAAGCAGGAAGTGAGTGTTGGGCGGGCGCGGACATACAATGAAACCGGGGAAGTCTGTCATTTTGGTGATGCGCTGACAGAGGCCCTGGCTGAGGAAGCTGTTGAATCCTTTGCTGCCTTGGAAATTCCTAGAAGAAGGAAGAGGTGTGAGAGGACTCCGGGCCACGCCTGGCGCATGGCGAAAAAACACATCAGCCACGCATGTGAGTGGCACATACCACCAAAAGCGGGCCAGGATGGCGTTACACCAGGCTCCGTCATTCGGCGTGTCTGTTTCCGCAAGCCAACGATATGATCATTCAGTCGCTTGGGTCCAACCCCATCAATAGTCGAGTGCGACCAAGCGACACCGTACCTGGGTTCATCAGGATGTTGTGGTACTGGGAAAAGTAGGAGTTGATCTTGGCGTCCTCTTGTTGATACTTGGCCAACTGTTGGGTACCCATGCGGTCGCGAGGTAAGCCGGGTGCCGTGCAACCCGTTGAACACACGCCAGGAGCGGGGCGTGCGTACATTTGTGGAAAGAGCGGAGGCACGCTGCAGTGCGTAGAACCAGAGTTCGAACTCCTTGCCGTTGGGGAACAGCATGTAGGCGTCGTGTTGGTTGTCGCCGAACAACTGGTGCTCGGGATGCTGCAGGTGAACGTACACGCATGAATCAGATGGGTGGTGAGAAAACAGCTTATAGGCCGCGATCCTGCGCATGTGGCGCGGTGATGTACCGACAGCTTGATGGCAGTGTCCTTTTTCGACCAGTTGGTCGAGGTAGCTTCAACTGTGCATCCGTTGAGGCAAATCACCTGAGCCACATTGTTCTGTTGCCCGAAGAAGGTGAGTAACGATCAGCAGCCCCTTGCGCGCATTCTGCAGAGGGCGGGGTCGTACCCCTTTGTCTTTGTATTTGAAGAGCATGTTGCCTCGAATGATGCTGTATTGCCACGTAGCGTTTCGAAGCACACAGCTGGACCTGCACACATAGTGGCGCGGTGAGCCGCACGACGTTCCTACACATATACAACGATGAAAGGGGGAACGCAAGCGAAGAGGAGAAGGTGGTTACCTGCCCAGCATCATCGGGAAGGAGTCCCGTGAGATCAAGGAGTACTGAGCTGGGGTCAAGAACTTGGCATAGCCGCCGAGCTGTGGTCACACACAAAGTGTAAGAAGAGGCTAATGCAGTAGCAGGGTGCAAAAGGCAAAGCAAGGCGTGCGCATGATATTGGCTGATGTGCAAGTGAAGTGAAACATGATGGCAGCAATTTATATAAATAAAAAATGGATGGAGGCCTTGACCAAGCAAGATGACGATTTGCTGCAGAAAATAAAAGAAGAAGGCTAATGTTGTGGGCGTACTGCTTTTTCGTCGTTGCTGACGCCGTCGAGGGCTGGATGTTCACCTGATCCGCTCAGGCTCTGCCCCCCTTTAGATGCGGTTGATCGTGCATTCGTGTCGGTCTTTGTGGAGCTGAGAAGGGACAGGTAGTGGTAGGTCACGGCAACGCCCACGATGAGCACCGTGAAGGCACCCAGCAGGAACGAGGCCAGGAAGAACACTAATGTGGCGAAGGCGGCCATCTGTGTCGTTATGGGCGTTTGCGAGGGTGTCGCCCTACTCGGGTCTCAGAGACCTCGCCTTCTTCAGCAGAAAATGTCAGCGAGATCTTGTCGTACGGCACGGCAGGCCGCCCGTTTTCCTTGTCTCGGCGATTTTAGAAGTGTGCGATCTGGCAGAGGCCCAGATGAAGCGGGTGGAGGATAAATCCAAAGCACCTGCCACCATGCAGGAGTGGATCGCCGACAAAAAAGTAAATCAGTTGATATTTAAAAAATCGCTGATGCAACTCGTTTAATGCAGCGACCGGCGATGCCAGGCAGAAGCCATGAACGCGGGGCGGACGAAACCATACCTGCACACTGTAACAAGAAGCCTCTCCTTTCTTCCTTCTTCTCGTGTGAGAAAACACAACCTGGAAGTTAGTTCAGGTTGCACAAGCGGACATAAAGCACACCACCTGGCGTGCTAGATCTAACAGGGCTGCTGACGTGGCATTGCCTGGCGGTGTGTTGCCAAACTATTCCATCGAAATTCCGCCTGAATCGCCACTGTCCTGTGTACCCCCGACGGGGCAACAGCGCCCAATGGGATCCTCCACCTAGCCAGAGGCAGCGTCATCACCACCTTCAATAGTTTGACTGTCAATGCAAATGAAAGGCCGCCCCTCTCTGGGTACTTCCGCGGAGTCCAGCGAGACTGACGCTGCTCTGCTGCCGCCACGGGGAAGCCCGCGCTCGCCAGAACAAAGTCTGAGGCAAAGAAGGAATCGAACAAAGAAAGAAGAAGCAAAGGAAACAGGAAGAGGTGGAGTTACATCTTGCACGCAGATGACCGACAGCGCGGGCGTTCGATACTCCTTGCTAGGGTATCCGTCCGCGGACAACAGTGGCGACGCAGTAGAACTACAGCGTGTGGGCGAGGCTATGGAGGACGAAGGAGGGGGCAGCCACGACGTCGAAGCTCACCCACTCGGGGAAGAGCCTCCGGCCGACAGGTGGGAGTACTTGTCCAGGTTTGCTTTCCTTTCCCGCTTGGTCACGCCCTCGCGAGTAGTTCCGACTAGGGCTTCCCCGTTTCCTCTTTTTTTTTGATTTCCAATCTCGCACACGAAGAAACGATTCGTAACGGTTCTTCTCTCTTGCTGCTCACAGTCCGAAGTGGGGCTACATCATCAGTGCAGCGCTGCCATCTGCCCTCCTACTCTTCTTCGTCGCCATAATCTTCGGGGTTGGCTCAGGTAAGCTCCAACACCCCCCCCCCCCACTGGCGCGGTGCCCGACTGCTCCGCTCTCCGTGTTGATGTCCTCCTGTCGTGCATCTAGGAAGGCACGGGTCGCCTACGGTGACCTTCTTGCTCTCCTACTCGGATGCGCTCATCGCCTTGTCCTACTTCTTCATCCCCGGCGCCATCTTCACCGTCGTTCTCAAGCGCGGGGTGCGTCCGTTCCCGGCGCCTGCCGTGCGTCTGTCCCCTCTTGTCACTGACCAACTCCCCCTAACAACAGGACATCGACCGCAATGTGTGGACGGTGTGGATGTTCGGCGCCTTTATCGTGTGCTGCGGGCTCACGCACCTCGTCTCGGCCCTGTGCATTTGGTTCAACGTACGCTTGCCACGTGCACCACCGCTTGCCCGTCTCCTCGCGCGTGATGTGCTAACAGCAGTCTCGACCACAATGCTACAACAGCTGAGGTGGCTTCAGTTGGGCATGAAGGTGGTCACGGCGGGCATCAGCTATGCAACGGCCATTGCCGTGTACAAGCTCATCCCGCTCGCGTTGGCCATACCGTCGCCCATCCAGCTGGAGAAGGAGATCAACGAGCGCAAGGACGCGCAGCGCAAGCTCCAAACTCAGGTACTCGCACACGCACACGCACACGCACACGCACACATACGCAAACGCACTCACCGGACCCACATCTGTGCGTGCGGCGACTCACCGCGGCACGGCCACGGACGTACACCAGTACAAGCGATCGGTGGTGCTCTCCCGAGTGACGAAGGAGATACGGCGCAGCCTCAAGCTGCAAGACATCAGCAACGCGACGGCGGCGCAGTGTATCGACGTGTTCGACGCCGACGTGTGCTCCGTGTACCGCTGCGACCCGAACCCCAGCCACGGCCTGGAAACGTCGCCACTGGAGGGCACTTCGCCTGATGACACGGACCACCGTGCGGTGCCCGAAGGCAAGGGCAAGGACAAGGAGGGGAACGACGTGCCGAACAACAGGGGCCAGACGCACTGCCAGCCGTACAAGTGGCGCCTGCTGAGCGAGTACGACCGATGGGCGCCCGACAGCCCCAAGACCGACAAGCAGGCGTGCAGTGACGCCGAGGTGCCGATGCTGCATCTCCTGCCTGGGTAAGGCCAACACAATCTCTTCATGTGTGTCGTGCGCGCGCGCGCATGTGTGTGTTGTGTGTGTGGTGTCAGGGCTCACCCCAAAACACGCATTTGTGGTGTCAGCTTGCCGGAGGGCAACACAGCCATGGTGATCGACTTCGAGAGGAAGGAGCAGCTCACCTGTGCCCCCGCGAAGCTCTCAGGTACCACCACCCCGGCCGATACGCCGTCCACAGTCAAGCTTGACCTCCCGCTCACCGCGTGCCATCGATGCCTGCCGACGACAGGTGTCGCCTTGGACGAAAGCCTGGTGAACTACTACCGACAGCGACGTATCAGGTCGCTCCTATGCGTCTCCGTGCCCTACCAGCGCGACTCGTACGCCGTGATCGTGCTCCAGCTCCGCCACGGCTCCACGGGCCGCGCGGCCGACGACTGGCACCTCGATGACATCATCCTCCTCCAGGAGGTCATCACTCAAGGTGCGCCCGCGTGTGTCATGTGTGTCGCACTCGCGGTTGTGCGAGGGCTGACACTTTGCACCGTCAATTCGTCTTCGCAGTTGCGATCGGGCTGGAGCACGCCTATCTGCTGTGTCAGGCCAACAAGGGCCGCAAGCTGGCGTGGCGCAACCTGGCGCTGGAGCGGGCCAAGGAGAAGGCCGAGCAGAACTCGCAGGCCAAGTCCGAGTTCCTCGCGGTGGTCTCGCACGAGATCCGCACGCCGATGAACGCCATCTGCGGCATGACCAAGGTGCTCAAGGGCTCTCACATATCGCGAGAGCAGCGCGACTGCGTGCAGATCATCTCGTCGTCGGCCAAGGCCCTGCTGTCGCTGCTCAACAACATCCTCGACTTCTCTAAGATCGAGGCCGGCAAAACGGAGATTCACGTACACTGTCTCTCCTTGTTTGGCTCACCTCGTATTGAGAGCTGACCACACACACACACACACACACACGGAACACGAACGCGTCGCACGATATGCAGCAATGTCCGTTCGACCTGTACAAGTGCATCCGGAACCTGATGGGCCTCATGTCCAACTACACCACCGGCCGACACCAGAAAGTCACGCTCTCCACGCTCATCGACCCGACCGTGCCGTCGTTCGTGATCGGAGACAAGCAGCACCTGCGCCAGGTCCTGATCAACCTGCTCAGGTACGTACCGTACACGATGGAAGCCTTGAACCATGCGCACTTCCCACCCACCCACCCATCTTCATCTGCAGCAACGCGCTCAAGTTCACGCCGGAGGGCAGCATCACGCTTCGCGTCTTGACCAACTCCACTTGGGAGACCTCCGACAAGGAGAAGGTACGCGCTCGAGACCCTGTTTGCTGTGCGCTGGGCGGCATCGTTCGACGTTGTGTGCCGGTCAGACGATGCCATATCTGACAGCGTTGCGCGCGCGTGTGGTTGGCCGCCTGCACAGTACGCGCAGCTCCACTTCGAAGTGACAGACACGGGTATCGGAATACCGCACGAGAAGCAGAGCCGCCTGTTCCGGCCCTTCTCACAGGTGGACTCGTCCGCCACCCGGTACCCGACTGGCTCTCCCGCTTCCCATCGAAGTGCGGACGTAAATTTTTATGTCCGAACACCCAATGCTCACACACGACACACGGCACACGACACACACAACATATGTGAAATGCAGGAAATACGAGGGTACCGGGCTGGGGCTGGTGATATCCAAGCGGCTGTGCGAGCTGATGGGCGGCCACATGGAGGTGCACAGCGAGGAGGGCAAGGGCAGCATGTTCACCTTCACCATCCGCGTCAAGCTCCAGGGCGCCGTCCCCGACTACGATAAGTGCTGCCAGCTGGAGAAGAACGACCGCCGCAACGACGCCCGGCAGATGGCCGAGCAGATCCTCCCCGAGCTGCAGATGCGCACGGCCTTGGGCGCACTCGACGCCGCCGAAGCCCAGCCCGGCGCCATCGCACGACCCAACTCGCCTGTCACCAACGAGGCCGCGGCTTCCTCTTCATCGTCGTCGTCACCTTCAGCTGCGCCTGCGGCTTCGGACTCGACCACCCTGGCGCCGGCCCACTCGTCGGTGTTCCTCTACAACAACCTCAACGAGGCGGCGCGGCGGCACATCCACCCGCAGCACACGCACTCGCTGCCGACGCGCCTGCGGCCGATCACGCCGCTGCCGTACACGCCGATGGACTCGCCGCGGCTGCCCGGCACCCAGCACTACCCGCCCCCGCACCCCGAGCCGGCGACGGGCGGACCGCGCCGCTACTCGATGGCGGTGACCCCCAAGGACCCGGTGCGGCACAGCGACCAGTACCCGGTGATCGACCGGATACTGCTGGCCGAGGACAACACCATCAACCAGAAGGTGGCCTGCAAGCTGCTCAGCCGCATCGGCCACACCCAAGTCGCGGTAACGCCTTCTTTCCACCCCTGTGTGTGTGTGTGTGTGTGTGATGTGCCCCATTACTAATATAATGATAATGGCGCATAGGTGGTGGGTGACGGTATGAAGGCGGTGGACGCTGTGCGGGAAGCCAACGCCGAGGGGAAGCCATTTTCAGTCATTTTGATGGTACGCCAACGTGTTTTGTGGTGTAGAGAGCCACTGTCCAACACATGCGCTATTGCGGGGCATCAACAGGATCTGCACATGCCGGAGATGGACGGCATCACGGCGAGCCGCATGATCAAGCAAGAAGAGCAGGAGCGCAGCGGCACGACCCGACCGCCACCGTACATCATCGCTTGCACTGCCGACCTGCAGTACGGTACGCGGAAGGAGTGTCGTCAGGCCGGCATGGACGGCTACCTGCCCAAGGTGCTCCCCTTTCTCCTTTTTCCCTGTGGAGAGAGCCCATCACGTTATACTGACGCGCGCCATTTGGTCAATGCAGCCGATCAAGTTGAAGGAGCTATCGCGCGTGCTGGTCCATGCGCAGATGACAATGCTGCAGCAAAAGACGGGCCTCCTCGACGACCAAACCGCGCAGGAGCCAGACACTGCGAGCGAATAATATATTGTCGACAGTGTACATAGATTCGACACACTCCATACTACATACATGTGAGATTTGTACCTCTGCTGTGTGCACTGAGTGGTGGGTGATTGGTTATCAAGAGTTGCTTTGTAGTGTACAAACAAGAAGGTGGTGTGTGGAGGGAGATCTGGGCCCCTCTAAGTGCGGGGTGAGCCGATCTGGGAGGGCGGGCCGCTGGTCGGTGGTGACTGCAGAAGGGCGAGAGTCAGAAGAAGATCATGCGCGTGCTTACAGGCGTACTACGTCCCCAAGTGTGTGCGTGTACCCCGATGGTGTATTCGGACTCGCTGTCGTCTGAGTCGTCATCGCTGCCGTTGCTCTCTTGCATGATCCCGAAGCTCATCACTCGCTTGGGATCTCTTGCCTGTACGTGCGGCGCCATCTGCGTCTTGATGTCTCTGCACAGTGTGCGTTTGAATGAGGTTGCCGTGAGTCTCATTTTTTCTCACGACTTGGGTCACAAGCGCAAGAGTGGCTGTAAGGAGAGAAATGAGCGGGGCGACTGACCTGAAACCCTCCTCGATGGACTTCTGGAACTGGAGCTGCTCGCTGCCGATGAGGCTGCGGTTGAGCTCGATTGCTCGCTCGCAGGCCTTCAGGAACTGGCGCAGACTCTCACGCAGGCGCTCCAGCGAGGCCGGCGAAT